AGACAGCTCGCTGTCCAGGGAGGCAGCACCGTCTCCCTGCTGCCCGTGTCCTGGGGTAACTCCCACGCTGAGGTGTACGTGGGGCCATGCACCAGCGGGGTCTTGTCATTCAGCTGTGCCACAGTGTTTCTCCCTCAAGACCACAGCTTCATCGTGCAGGACGGACCCTGCGGTGCTGAGCACCTAATCAGGACTGCACAAGTGCTAAACAGAGTTACGTAAAACTGTCCGACACTTTCTGAGTGCCCTTGACTTACGTAAGCTGGCACTGATGGGGGACAAAGATGAAAACGTAACTCCTGCTTTCGATAAGCTTACAACCCGGTGAGAGGAACTGAAGAGGATGTTTCACTGCAAGGAACCGAACACTCACACCCACAGGTACTGCCGGTGCTGGTGGCTACCCACGTCAGTGTGTGGAAACCAGGGATTTGTCCGGAGACCCCAACTCCTGACCCAAAGCAGGCAGGGACAGTTCAGAGACCTGGAAAATGTACAATCGCCATAAAGAAAGTGGAATGCAATTCTCCTCTCCCTGGGCTCCCAAAATGACCATAACCGACCTGAGAAATAAGGCAGGCAACTCTCTGGGATACAGGACCAAACTCTTCCTCCCTGTGTAGCCAGGAGTCTTTTCATCCCGTTTGCTCTGTGTCGCTCCCTCGGGCAAAGACAAGCCTGAGACCGAGCATTTTGTATATAGCGGTGTGACATCCTATCGGAAATCTGGTCGGAAATCTGGTCAGCCGCTGACCCTTCAGGTCTCCACCCACGAGGCAACGGGAAAGTGCGTCCATACAGCTTGACCGGCAGTGTTACAGGCAGTCACGCTAACAGTGAAGAACAAAACCGCGCGGCACTGTCTTTAGACCCATTTTCCCTGACTTTTCTGTCCAGTGGCCTCTAAAGGGTGAACACCGCCCTACCATGTCTCTGTCATTTGCAGGAATGAAGACGGCTAATCCACGGGGTGGGGGGGCGCTCGGCAGGGGGAGTAGGACCCAGTCCCCGTGACTTACGCCGCGCAGGCTGGCCCTGGGAGCAGCAGCACGTGCATTTCCGATCCCTGCGTTTCTGGGGCGGCGCAGCTGTGTACCGCGCGTGCGCGGGCCAGAGGCGGCGCAGGGACTGTGCGGAACCCTCTGCCTCCGGGGGAAAGAGAGACGCAGCGAAGATTAACGAGTCAGAACATTTTCCCCAAGTCTCCTTTCTCTTGAGAGACGGGTTGGAGGAGGGATCAAAATAGAAAGGAGAGAAGGAAAAAAAAAAACCCCTAACAAGCTACATAACCAAAGCAGACTCACCCAAAACCTACCGAGTGCAGAAAAGACGACTGTAATCAGGGAGTGCAAGGTCACAGAGTTTATTTCCCAGAAGCGTTGACAGTTTAGTGTACGAAGCCATCAGCTAGCTATCCCGACGAGTGCGTGTGTACGTGTGCGTTATTTACACAGTCTTCCCAACACACACCACCAAAAGAGAAAACTCACAGTTCCCGGTTCCCGTCTATACATTTAAGAAGGGAGCAGTCACTGGTGAGTGAGAAGCAGAATCCAGAAGCATCTATCACAATGGAATTCATTGTTTCATAGCTACTCGAAATGAATTCAAAGGCTGGCACAAACCTCCCTACCCTGTCCTCTCTGATAAAGCTTCAGGCTGAGGAATGGTAGAAATCACAGTCAGGAATTCAACAACCCGCATACTGTTCAGATGACCCAGGCCTCGGTGGGCTAGAAGGCATGGAGCTCTTTCCTCCGTGTAACCTGGCATCTCCTCTTGTGCCAGGGAGACCGGTGCCAGCCATTTCTACTCGCTGAGTAAACGAACAGGAGCTACATTAGGAACTACTTTAAGAAACCTTATTTTAAGCCCTGACTGGCATAGCTCAGTGGATTGAGCACGGGCTGCAAACCAAAGTGTCGCAGGTTCAATTCCCAATCAGGGCACGTGCCTGGGTTGCAGGCCACGGCCCCCAGCAACCACACATTGATGTTTCTCTCTCTCTCTTTCTCCCTCCCTTCCCTTTCTAAAAATAAATAAATTAAATCTTTTAAAAAAACTTATTTTAATCAAATTTTTCTATCTTTTTGCTTTTCCCTTCTTGTAACAGAATGCCAACTGAACGAGAATCTCGGCCTCCTCTTCTACACAATGTTCAGTAAGGGCTTTCTAACTGAATGGCTTTCTACCCTAAAAAATGTTAATAAATCTGTAAAGGGAAAGGGTCTCTACTAAAGAGCACATGTGGTACTTTTATTTTATCCCCCAATGCATGCTATTAGTTTACACACCCAAACAAGAGAAAGTTTGGCAATAAACTAAATATAGATAATGCAGGACCTGGTGACATGAGCCAAGTGGTGTGTGTGTGTGAGAGAGAGAGAGAGATTACTCAGAGAATACATGTTTATATGTGCTCATAGAAGCGAGAATGTGCTGTGACTGGATCTGATAAATAGTGCTGGGCAGGAGACAGATGACTCCCAATCAGGGGCTGAGAAGGAGAGAGACTAATGGCTCCAGCCTTTACTGCATAAGAAGGATGATCTGGCCGGGCCAGCCGTCTGCTTCTGAGTCGCAGTCAGAGGAGCCCACCAAATCCCCTGCCTTTGGGGCCACACTGTCCGCAGGGGAGAAACCTCCATGAACGGGCGTGGCTGGTGAAGGGGATCCACCCTCACACACACGACACAGCCTTCCTCTGGCCAGACCAGGCGACGTGGGGATCCCCAGGAGAAGGAAACGGCATCTGTAGCACAGGACGCTGAACGCCAGGCAAATATTTCACGGGGACCTAGAGTGTATGGAGATCAGGATATGCCCTCCCCTTCCTTTGCGGGGACGTGGCCCAGAGGAGCTCATCAGCTACAGCTGTCCCCTGAAGCAGCACCCACCGGAACGCAGTAAGTCTACAGCTCGTCATGGAATGGTTCAGGGACGGCAAGCCCTCCTCCACCGTCCGCGGCTTCACTCCCATCACCGCACTGCATGTACGCTCTGCCCAATCTTCTATGAGCTTGCGAACCCCAGAGAGCCTGCTCTCTTGCAGCCAACTCTCCCCTACAAGAGTTTTCTCATATCCCCAACACGCATTGGGGGGCAAAGGCTCAGTGCTTACCATTCCAGCCTTTGGAGGGATTCCTAGAGATTATGAAGCAATTGTTATGAAGAGATGGTTTATTTCCCTTCAGACATTCTTCTGGGAAGAGGACAATTTGCCAACACGCAGGAGGACTGTTACCACCCGCGTGATTTCACCATTACCGTTCTTACCTTAAAAAGCGTTTATGAGTTTGTTTCATCTGGTCATTTATTTTGTCTTTTAGATTCTACACATAAGTGAAATCACGTGGTATTTGTCTTTCTCTGTCTGACTTATTTCACTTAGTGTAATACCCTCTAGGCCCATTCATGTTGACATGAATGGTAAGAGTTCATTCTATTTTATAGCTGAGGAATATTCACTTTGTAAGGTATTTAAATGTGCAACCACTATGTTGTACACCTGAAAACAATAAGTAATATACTACTGCATGCCAACTACTATTGAAAAATAAATAAAAGCATTGTTACGTACCCATGGCGTGGCTACATTCATATACTTCTCGAGTTAAACAGATAATATGAATTGCTCTAGAAGCTTGCGATCCATAACAAAGAGCTCTGACTTTAAACTGTGACACAGTAACAAATGAATCTTAAACTTGGGCATTAATGAATTGTGCAAACAAATTTCACTAAGAGCAGTTGCTGACTTAGGAGAAGAAACCACTTTCCAACAGATTAGAACTATCATTTACATAGAAGCCAAATCAGCGGAATATAAACAGGGACTAAGCCGCTGTGATCCCCTAATCATCTTTATCATTCATTAAGGATGTCTTTACAAGGCCACTTCGTAGTACAGTTTTGTTACGTAACTTCGAAGTTAGGCGGAATTATTTTAAGTCTGTAATTCCAACTTTTCCTTAAATCAAATCACCCTTTGGTGCAGGTTGGTGAGACACTCAGGACTAACTGGAATAACCCTCCAGGATACAAGTGTTGTTCAGGGTGGGGTTCTGCCTCATCTGTCCCTGACTGCAAGCCTAGTGCCCACTACGTGCGCCTGACACATTGTAGGTCCCCCATAAACATTCGCTGGGTGCTGCGATCTGCTCTAGGTGCTGAGGATCCTGTGCTGTGTGCATGGCATGCACAAGTCCTGTCTTCCTGAATCAGCAGCAACTCCCCTCGGCAGGACCTGCCGGTTTCCAAAAATGCAGCCTGCACGACCCGTGTTAAGTGGGCACTGACATAGGCCAGAAATAAAAGAGCTACAGCAGCCCCTCTTTCTTTTGCTAAACGTTTTTGTCCGTCTCGGCTTATTTAGCATTCGGAGACTGCACCAGGGTTGCTCCCCGCAGCCGTCTATCAGAAGGGATTCAAAGATGGCGTGGGGAAGCTAAGCTATCCTAAACATGGCTGAGTAGCATCTCAACAGCCTCCCTGCATCTTTTTCTAAGGATCTGTCACGATTCAAAATTACATTTCTGGGAGCAACTGAAAATGCTCCCCAGAAATCCCATCGGTGGTCGGGCCCAAGAGCAGAAGCTGTGCTTTGTCTGAGGAGGTGAGAAAAATGAGCATGTCACTGCGAATGTGCAAAGCATCCTTATGCCTTCCTCCTGCTCTGCGTCTCCTCTCGGGCCCCTGCCCCTGCCTCCCGTCACTCCCAGCCTTTCTTTGAAGGGCTACGATTCTGTCCAACAGGACAAAACTTTTTCATGCCCAAATCCCATCAGATCTCTAATAACTGGACTGTCTTCATTTACTATTTAGTATATGTCACCCCCCAAAAACTTTACAGGCCTTCCAGATGAATTTTATTTTGTCTCCTTTTGTCCCTGCTCCCTCCTTTTTTTTTAAACAGATAAACCGGAGTCCTGATTTTCTTCTTTCCCCAAACATAGAACCCCACACCGCCAGCCCGTGGTGGAGACGGCGGACGTGCCTACCTTGCCCAGGCCTGGGGTGTCCTTCACCTTGCTGACGGCCCGCAGCAGACACGGCGGGGCCGGGGGAGGGGAGAGCTGCAGAATGCCGCTGAAGCTGGTGGCAAAGAGGGGTGACTCGGCGACAGATGTAGACGGTCGATGCTTCTTCTTTTTAGAAGACAGATTTAACTTCTGGGCAGCTCTGGAGAGGAAAACGCAGAAAGCGAACAATAAGGGGAAACGTAGGGTACCATCGAACACGCTATGTTACTTCATTTGCTCTCAAAGAACCTTCTAGCACTTGTTGACACTTACCAGTTCTCTCCTCGCCCTCCGGGTGCTCTGCCGCACCCTGAGCTACACCAGAGTCAACTTAATGAGCTACCCAGTCATTTATAGGGCAGAAAAAAAGCCGTAAAAGTGCCTGGTTCTGCAACGGGGATTTACAAAGGATTGTTTGTTACCCACAAACACTCCGCATAAGCGTGAATAAGGCTGGTCATCTTTAGGGATAAACAGTACCTATTAGGTTAATCACTCCATAACTTCTCTAAGTATAAACCCAAGTGGGGGAGACAACTGTGAGTTATGCAGAAATTCTAACACCTTGTAAAAGCCAGGCCGGCCTGATGGAGAGGCACAGGGCGGCCAGTGAAGGCAGGCTGTGTACGTGCTTGTGGAAGAAAAACACACATCCCGTGCAGCAGGGAAAAATAAATCCCACCAGTTTCAGAAACATAACACCGAGACAGAATCAACTCCAGCCAGGGTGTGGAGTGCTGAGAATGCGGGCTGCTTGCTTACAAAACAGGCTTGTTGTGCGGGGTGGTCTCTCACTACAAAATGCAATTCATGGACTCGTCGGAGGGGTTGGAGGGGGCGGGTAAGTTTGCCCAGCATCACCACAAACATTGGTTGTTTGGTCGTATCTTCCCCCATGCAAATGCTCAGTAATACTTAAAACGGCCATCATTGCAAAGAAAGAGAGTACAGGCTAAGGCATCTCACAGACTGTCATGTACTCATTTCTGGATCAGTTTTCGGTGTTTGTACTCTCTTGCTCGAAGAATTCCAATTCTCTTATCAAATATCATTAACCATTTGAGCTGCTGCTTAACTGGATGACCACGACTTGATTCTGTGCATCAAAACCTTATAACCCATCCAGAGTCTCACCAATTACGTAACAGGCCACGAGACAGGCAGGTCAAAGAGACACAGTCAGCCTTGTCAGCACTTCCTCCCCGCCACACCCCATGTTGGAGAGATCTGGGAAAGTCAGTTTTAATTTTGTAATTATCGCACTCTTGATAAACCTCCTGAGCTACAAAATTGCCTCTGCCCAGATATAGCTCAGAATTATTATTTTGAAGCTCGATTTTCCTGAGCCATAAACCTGAACATCGATCCTGCAAGAGTGAAATCCAGAGGAATAGGATCCGTGCGGAATGACAGATTTTGACAGCATGAGAGCCGACAGCATGAGTCCCAGTCCCTCGGCCAAACGTGGGGAATGCCACAGTCAGTCACTCAGCTGAAGGACGACGAGAAACGAAGATCTCCACAATGCTTCCCGTGCCAATCAGCGAAAAGAAAAACTTGGAATAACTTTTTTCATGATCTCATTGCCACTCTCCCTTCTGCAATTAAAGGCAAAGCGGAATCACTCCATGACGAGGCCACTGCTTCCCCTGACAGTTGTCATTACTCCGAGATTCGCTCCCTTGAACACACAGTGGCTCATTCAGACATGCAGGCATCAGAATCGTTTCTTCTGACACCCACCCCTGCGCTCAGCGACCCCTCCCTGCTTCCCGGACAGGCTGCCTGGCTCTGGGAGAGTTTGAGAGGAGGGGAAGAGAGGTGTTTCTCCATTTACAGTAGGATGCTTCTGTCCAGTGGCGAAAGGACCGGGTGGTGGCTGCAGTTCCCACCCCCCTACCTGTTGGGGTTCGCAGTTCAAATGGGACAGAGAGAAGAAAATGCTACTAAAAGGCAACTCAGATGCGGTAGTGGCCTGTCGGCTTCTCCCTTTTCCTTATCTCTACCACCCATGCGCACACACTCCCCCCACAGACGCCCTGCCAGAGAGAAAGCCAGGGTCCTTACAATTGAAGCACGTGAGGACTTAGCCAAGGATCTTTCTCCAGGGTTTGCCCGCCCCCCCCCGCCCCCGTCTCTCCCCTGCACTGACAACTCCAGTTTTCACTCTACACTAGATCATCTCCGATGACATACAAACATGCTGTTATTGCTCCCGTCTTTACAACTAACGGAATAGGTGATTTGATCAGTTTTCATGTCTGTTTCCTGTCTAGGAGGTAAGTCCCAGCAGGGCAGAGTTCATGAGTTCACGCATGTTTGCTGAATGAATGACCGGAGACCAAAGGAACCAGGGACATTTAGCCTAGCAAATGTAAACCTGGGGAAAGAAGGAGGTAGAAACTTTTTAAAAAAATCTCTCTTTAAGGAAATGAGTAAACAGTATGTATTTTTCAAGTAATAATGCCTGATCATTTCAAAGGCCATCGATTTGAATTTTAGAAAACCTTGTGAGGAAGATAACAGTACTATTTACCAAGAAATGAGGTTTAAAGGGTTACATCCAGAGTCCTTTTAATATCTGAATGTGAACATCTAGCCTTTTCAGACACGAGTACACAACCGGCAAGTCACTTCCATTCCGATGATGTCACAATATACACAAAGGGCCTCGTACAGGCCCTGGCATATAATTGACATCGGTATCATTACCACAAATGCGACTAGCAAGTCTTAATTTCTGCCTAGTAAGACAGAGCAAAAACGGGGCCTTTGTAGACTCTGTATGAAAATTAAATGAGTGCAGGTAAAGTGGCCGGTACACAGGAAGAACTTACTAGACGGCGCATCAAAGGTACCTAACAGGAAGTGGTGGAGCCCAGGATGAATGTACGTCCACGCGCCTTGTACTGCGCCGTGAAAGCTCTGCACAGGCAGCAAAGTAAGCAGTGGGGATGGAAGCGTTCGTAAGCGTAAGGGGCATCTTTGTAAAACTGTATAAACCATCAGGGATGGTTCTGCATCATGAAATAGGGAGCCTTTTGTCTCTAGAAATTTCTAAGTAGTGGCTGAAAAAACATTTACAGGGACAATCAGGGATACGCAAGGGTACATTTGGAAAACCAGATGATTCCAAATGTCTTCCGACGCAGAGGTTCTGAAATGACGCTGGAATTTCTGTTCCATGTAGGGAAGCCTGTTGGCCTCAGTGTGGAGAAGCAGTAATGGAGGGGGTTGTTTTGAGAATAACTTAGTTTTCTTGTGCAACCACAGTGTTGTACACTGAAACTAGTGTGATATTGTATTGTTGACCGCAATTCGAAAATTTAAAAATTACTTTAATAATTATGATCTTCTCCTGGCTGGCGTAGCTCAGTGGATTGAGCTCGGGCTGTGAACCAAAGTGTTGCAGGTTCGATTCCCAGTCAGGCCATATACCTGGGTTGCAGGCCACGGCCCCCCAACAACCGCATATTGATGTTTCTCTCTCTCTCTCTCTTTCTCCTTCCCTTCCCTCTCTAAAAATAAATAAATTTAAAAAAAATTATAATCTTCTTAAAATATGTATTTAAAATAAACATAGCAGGAGAATTCCACAATTCAGAAATTAATAGAAGTCAAATTTTGCAGCCATATAACCTATAGGAACATTTTATTTTAATTTTGACATCATCACAACCAGCTGTTGGGCCTCTATTTCATGTGTTCCAGTTTCGAGGAAGTCAGCAGCTCCTGCTCATCTTACAGAGCCCTTCAGTGACACGCAGGCAGGGGGACACTAAGGTCCAGGAATCATTCATGCATAATTGTACTGTTCAGTGACATAAAGGAGAAGCAGTCGTGAAAGAATTGAAAAGGCAAAGACATTTTGACCAGCGGTAGATTTTCTGTAATTAATGCCTTACAAGCTCTTTTTTCACGGGCAGAAGAACAAATGAGCGGGTTGCTTTACAAGGTTTCAAAACAACAAAAAATTAATCTACGGAGCTATTCAAACCAATATTTACTTGTCTCATTCTTGCCACGAATAGCGTCACATATTTCCTAGAGCCATTCATTGCAACATACATCTTTAAACGTCCACGAATTCATTTAATTCTAGGCCTTATTTCAAGAAAAGAGATAGTTTCTCCAGCAGGGTAAGATTAGTATTTACTGAACCTATACAGCCAGTGGTGCCAAGCTAAGCATTAGTAGGCTGTGGGGAAGGGGCCATGGTGTGAACTTGGCAAGAATTAAAACCCACTGAGCTCAATTCTTCCCTCCAGGTCCCACCCCTCTCTCTCCACCGCCCTGCGCATCTCACCCAGGTTAGCACATCAACATGATGATAAATGAATTCAGGAATCAGTTCAGAATTGAGATGACCTCCCCATGGGATGGTGACTTTTTCCTCATTGTCCAGATCTACCCAGACCTTTGAAAAAAAAACGAGGTAAACAATTATCTGGAGAATTTCATTGGTTTAGGTGTTGGCAGGGCAGGGGAAGTCCTAGGTCTCGGTTATATAGATTGGCGGGGAGCCTATGGAGTTTATTTATTTATTTATTTATTTGCATTTTCAGGACAGACTATTTGACCTTGAGTTCTCAGAACTGTGAAGTGTTTAAATGGAAAACCCCTCAGTCTAAGCCCATCTCATGAGAATTGAATTGGGGTCTATGAACCTTAGCATCTAGGGATTCCTAACATATTGACCTAACAATCTTCTAAGAATTATTAGTTTCATGAAGAATGGAACTTTCCTTAGGGAACAGGCAGGAATATTGGGCAGCAGCACAGCCATTTTTTAAAGGGCCCTCTCTCCTTTTTCACCTTCTAATGTGCTATGTGTTGCTAACCACGTCTTGAGAGCGTCTCATCGCGTCTGAGAGGGCTGTTCGAATGTGGGATGCTCAGGTAGGTGGGTAAATGGTTTATAAAAATGAAGAGGGCATGCGAGAGCCACTCAGTTGGACCCGGGCCATCAATTGGTGAGATGGCAGCTCAAACAGGGCGGAGGAGGAGGGCGGGCTGAGGTCCTCGGACCTGCCTCATCTGCTGTTCTGAAAGGGCCCTGACCCAGGGGAGGGCGCCCGCGAGAATCTCCACTGTCAGCGTGTAAAAGACGATCCCGGCTGCAATTTAATGTGACAGTGGCTGGGGCTGCCAGGGGGCTCC